CAACACAGTGGTGTTGCAAATTAGTGCAAATATCGTTGAACACCGCATCCAACCACCATCGCCATAGGCAAGCAAAGCGCACAACTCAGCCGCCCTACTTTGGATTTGTTTGTATTTATGTGCTTGGTTGGGTTATGCGGTGGTGGGGCGGTGTGCGGGGGCGTGCGGCCGTTGCTATTAAAGTGCGGAAGTATTTAATGTGTATGTGTAGGTGGGTGGCGGAAGAATTATTAAATATTACGGCAAAGCAAAAGAATGGGGAATAGGAAACAGAGCAGCAGGAAGTAAAAGCAATTGTGCAGCGAAACACTCTGTCTTCCACACTTTGCTGCTACTTCTAATTCATATTCTGTTTGAGTCGTGTGTTTTTATTTCTAATTCTCTGTTGCTATACTAATCCTCACGCTCTCATTGTTTCGGCTTGTTTGTGCGTCGGTCGGAACAAAATGTGCGTTGATGCGGTCAGCAGTGAATAGAAAACAGCTGAGCGTGAGTGCGTGTCTTTTTATTTTTGTATCTATCTATCTACCTACATAGATACATATGCATGCTAGTGTGTACACGCATGCCAGTGTTTCGGCGTGAGTTCATTGAAATGTGTGTGTTTTTATGTACGAATGTGCGTCTAAACAAAATGTAGTGAAAATATCAACAACAACGAAGACAAATTAATAACTCAAGCGCAGCGGCAAACGGCATTGAAATCATTCAAACACACGTCCCGAAACAAATAAATATAGCTCCATACAGATATATGTATATAGATGTATATCAATACATACATCTATATGTACATAAATATCTCTATATGTACAATAGCTGTGTACTTTCTGCAGTATCGTTGAAGAGTAGAAATACAGAAACATATTGTTTGAAAATAACACAGTTTCGCCGCCAAATCGTATTTATATGGTGTGTGTGTGCATGCGTATATATGTATATATATCAATGTGTACATATGTATGTGTATGTTTACTACACCTTTTGCATTTTGGATTTGTGTTTATTATTGTGATTATTATGTGCCTATTTGCCTTCAAACACTTCATTTAATTGACGTTCATTTGTGCGTACGCACCCGCGCCCGCGCTCTCATTTGTTTCAGTATAACCAAACGTAAATGTGTTTGTATGAATGCGAGAGTATCTATATAAATACTTGTAGATGTGTTTGTACTCGATAATTTATTGGTAAAGCGGCCTGATGACGATTAGCCGCTATTATCGCTGATCTATTAGCGATCAAATGTATTCAGCAGCGCTTTTTTCTATTTATTTCACTATGAATATTGATATTTTTTCAATATCTACTTGTAAGCTAAATATTGTCGAATTAACATTCATATAAAATCACCTTTAGCTTTATTTAAATCTTATTATGTATAATATGCAAGCGTGAGCATATGTTTAAGTTAATTAGTCAATAGCTAAACTTACCATAAAGTAGATTTTTTGAATACCATTGCGTTATAAAGTTGTTCTTTTGGTTAAATTACGATTTTTATATGGCTTAGCTCGAATAGAGTAGCTTTTAGCCATGCCCTATCTGTCGAAAATGATTTTTGGATAGCTTGAATATATCTTATAGGATGGACACTGCGTATTGACCATAATATGAGATGAAAAATTGTATACTTTTCTGGGTAATTAGATCAATTACTTCCTTATCCAGGTGTCTGCTATTAAGTTAGCAGTAGAAGTACTACTCTAAAGTGCAACCTATTTTAGGGAGGTGAGCATTCGCTCCGACAGCTGTGCGACAATACTAGCACTGAGCTAGCTGACCATGCGCTCGAAGTTAGTCAAGGAGTGTGTGTTCTAACTAGAAATAGCATTAATGTACTTCTTTATAAGACTCATTTGAGTGCCTGGTCATGGCGAAATACTGCAAAGTCGATAAGCTAGCAATAGGAGGCAACCTTGCCCCACTCACATCGGAGTTGTCAACTTATGTTCTGGAAATAAGCCTATAGACCTCGCCTACGCTTAGCGGCCACCTTGAGGTTTGAAACCTTTCGGCATTCTTACCTTCGGTGAATCAAGAGACATAGCCGACACTGACATTAGCCGCCTTAACAAATTTGTAATATGCTCAAAGTGTCAATTTATGAGGATCTTATGTTCAATTATATATGTAGAAGTTTTAGGTTTTAAGCTGTCCAAGTGAGATTCTTGTTAGGATCGATCTCCTAACCTAACTTAACTTATCCTAGTTATTGAATTTACTGTTTGTAAACCAATTTAATTTCTTCCAAAAAGTTGTTGATAAATTGTACTCGTTAGTGTTCCGTGTTTGGAAGATTTAGTGTGTTTGTAGGAATTGAAGTTCATAACAATATTTGATAAAAAAGGAAATTATGAAGTTATGTACATAATAATGCATCCATAATAATGCACTTGCTTTTGTTATTCAAATTAATATATTTTTTCCATCAATATTATATGTTTGTATATCATCTTATTGCACAATAATTTCCCAAATGATAAGTACTAAAGAGGTGGATCATAACTAAGGAGATTTCATGTCAATAATATTTAAATGTTGGTGACATAGAAAACGCTGTCTGCTTACCTTTACTGTAGACTCTCATTATGATTATAAATATAATTCAATATGCCGTGAAAGCTGTAACATAAAATTTTTATAAGTAATACCAATTATGGATATACAAGTGTATATATATAGTATAGAATGAGTTATTAATAGCCATTAATCAATCAATCAATTAGCGATAAGTTCAAAGAGGTTTTAATCAACGAGAACTCTTCTTCAACTGAGTCTTTTAATGACTTTTGGTAATTCATAATTAATATATAGAATTTTAAGTAAATGCATTAATTTGGCAATTTTACCGCTCGCGTTGTAAATGTTGGTCATTGGCAAATAGACGTTTGCAAAAAGAAATGGAAGATCAGCAATTCTTCAAACTCCACCACTTTTAGCCATTCTTACGCAACGCTTCTCACATTTAATGCTACATATTTTGGGTTTTGTTAAAAATTGCGGATTCCAATTTATTTCTGCTTCGCCACTTTTTCTGCAATGTTTCTTTGGCGCTTTTTAGTGGCTTCGAACGCTTTACGAGCGTTCCAAAGACTGAATGCGCTCGTCTCACTCGCTTTAATGTCTCTTCTTTCGTCACAATGGCTTTTGTTTTCACCGAGCATGCTTAGCGACTTGGCTTCGGTCAACGAGCTAGCCTAGCTAGCTAAGCTGTCTTAGCGTAGCGTGCCGGTAGGTAAGACAGTCATGCATTCAAGCATTCAGTCAGTCAAGTCGTTGAATTGTCAGTCACATCAGCAACGTGCCATATAAATCGTCACTGTTTTTGTGTGTACCGTCAGTCATATCGCCATTACTTTGCTCAGTCTGGTCGCCTGACTTTTGAGTTGCCTCAATGTACACTTACTTGCATATGTATTGTATTTCTTTTCTTTGTAGCAGTTTTTCTGAAGCTTTCCCTTGACTTGGTTATATTCCCATCTTTTGTTTATCCACTGTTTTGTTCTCCGTCATTTGCTAACGTTGTTGTCGTTGTCGTTGTCATTTCAATTCTGTGATTTGTTACTGAAGTAGATGCATAGCGCAGAATAGCTTCAGGCAACAGCAGTGACAACGACGTTAGCAATGAATGGGAACAGCCAGCGAGCGAAAAGCTCGCATACAATTGCTAAATTTATATGAATTAAAAAAACAAACAATATGGCAAATTCGAATTGCCGCAAAACGTAATATATTTATCGTCTATCGGTCATCCATCTGCAAATATCGCCCATTCCCTGAATCCCTAACCGTGCAATCGTCCATAGCAATGTCCATCTGACAGCGTCCACTTGACGTAAATTCGTGGAAGGCCGTTGGACAATAGTATGGCAACGTCGATTCAATACAAGTAGCATAAAATGTCGCTGCAACAGCAAGCCGATGGCCGAAGACCAAGGACGGCAAACATGAAACGAAGCTGTGCGCTGTCATGCCACGAATTCCCCAAAGCATAACATGAAATACATAAATGCGCCTTTAAGGGGTTTCCCAAAAACAAAAACAAAAAATTTTTTTTTAATGATGAAAGTAAATTCACGTAAAGAATGAAATAATAAGCAATTCTACAGAAAATCTCCACTTTGTTTAGATTTCATTATGGATTCAAAATAATCATTGTCGGCTCACAAGCAAGTGCTCGGAAACTATGTATGTATGTATGTGTGTACAGAAGTATGAGCAAAGAGATCCACCATATAAATGCAGCTTGCAAACATATTTTTATACCCTGAACAGGATATATTAAGTTTACCATGTAGCTTGTAACACCTAGAAGGAAATGTCGGAGACACTATAACGTGTACATATACATAAATAATCGGCGTGACGAACGAAGTCGTTTTAGCCATGCCCGTTAGTTTTTGAGATATCGATCTGGAAATTTGCACATGTTATATTCTCTCCAAGAAACTGCACATCTGCCGAAATCGCCGATATCGGTTTTCTACCATGCTGTCATACATATTGTTTGTGTGAAAAACTTTTTTAATTTAAAAGTTGTTTTAACCAAATTTGTCATGGATTATTGTCCAATACAACACTACAATCTATATATACAATATACTGTTCAGTTCGAACCATTGTAGCATATACATATGTATCTGCCATACAAATTCTCCGAACAAAATCGAGTCCTTGTATGGAAAACATATTTGTTTCACTAATTAACTTCACGAAATTTGGCGTTGATTACTGCATAAGGCAGCGTTAGAATCTCTGAATAAATTCAAATCAGACCACTACAACGTTTATCGCGAAGTTAAGGTTTTTTAAGTCGGAATAGTTTACAGTTGAGAAGCAATGAAAACTTTATATTCAGTCTATAAAACTTGTATATATATATTTCTAAAAACTTTACGATTACTTACTTTAATGAAAGTCGATTTTCATCAGCTAGATTTTTTCGAAAAGCATTTAAGGTAAATAATATTGATTTCATAAATTTTGTTTTTTTGCAGAGTAAAACCGTTCGAGGCTACTGAAAATTTACTTAGTAACAAATCCAACATAAATAATTAAGCACATATTAATTAATATAATAAAAAATATCCAAAATGAGGCAACAAAAGACAGATAAAATGCTCAAAGTGCGCGAGTTCAATGATTTGCTCAGCTGCCATCTTTGCGCCGGCTATATGATAAACCCAACAACGGTGGATAATTGCTTGCATACATGTAAGTATTAAAATTAAGTTTATTTATAATTTTTTACTTATTTACACTTTATTTATACTTTTAAGTAGTTTGAAGCATAATGCAAATTGAAAGGTTTTTTTTTTAATATTGTATTGTATGAATCGACAATTAACAATCATTAGAATTGCCATTGCTTTACAGTACGAAATGAATCTAGTGTATTTTACTATACTCTCATAAAGTTTAAGCGATCCGCCAAATGGTTTAAATTCTAAACCGATCTGCAATTTCTTCACTCAATTTTCAGATTGTCGCAGTTGTATTGTGCAACATTTACAACGTGAGGCTTCTTGTCCGCTATGCAAAATTCTCGGCGGATTCAAGCAAGTTAATATGGGCAATTTGAGGTAAGTTCTCATCTAGCACAGTGTATTATATACATAAACTATTGTTAGTTCTATGGAGTGCAAATGGTTTATAATCAATTTGATTAACACTAACCTTCCAGGCCAGATGATGTAATGCGGGCATTAATTTTCAAAATGGTACCCGGTCTATATCAAAAGGAAAGAGAGCGTGCAATACAATACAACGTATCACAACTAAATAGTGAACAGCGAATAAATGTTGAGGAAGCATCCAATGTTGTCGGCAGTGAGCAGGAGACAATTGAAGAGAACTTTTTTGCGCCTAACGAACCAATTAGGTAAGAAATTACGCGTACTTATGTTGTAATTCTATGAAAATTTGCGACTCATGCTACGTTTATATGTTTGTATTAATTGTTTATATGATAATTCTTATACTGAAGTTATATGTTTTTCTTGTCTTAATTTATCTCTCTTCAATTCTTTTGTTCCTTTTTTTTCCGGTCATTAGTTTGTCATTGGAATATCATCCGACGTTGCTGAAGGGCTGCAGCACGAGTCAAATACCGCCTGTGCGTTATCTACAATGTCCAGCTTGCTTGAAGATACGTCACTTGAAACGTTTCCTCTGTTCCAAATTCGACATTGACCCGGAGAGTAAGCGTATCGAGGTGGAAGTGATTTATGAGGATGAGGTGTTGCCAAACGATTTTACGCTAATGGATGTTGGCTATTGTTACAACTGGAAGAGGGTGAGTAACAATGAAGATATTTTTATTATTTGAATGTACGATCTGTGTAAGAATAATTATATAAAAGTGCTTTGGTTTTGTTTTCTTATATACTTGTAAGTAGAATTCATTATTATCCTATAAAATGTTTTTGTTTCTATGTATCCGATAGTCGCATTGATTTTTTAATTATATTATATATTATATATAAATTTAATTACATTTGGAGACAAAATTTGAGTTAGTTGATACAATTTTGTACTTTTGACTTTTGCATAATTAAATCTGTTGAAATTTTCATTGAGAACTTGAATTGCCAATTAATTAGTATATTATTTTCAAATATATTGATAATAAAAATTGCGGATAAACATATGTACTTTCGTAAAAATATTTCAAAAAGACAATTTAAAGTTATTTGAGGAAAAATGATTACAAAAAATATAATTCGGTGCATAATAAAATTTGATGAATTAAATTGCAGTCCATTATATTGAGTCTATAATTATATTCGTACGGTTTTTTTGTTCAAAATTTGAATGTTTATTTAAGAAAAAAAATAAACAAAAGAATTATTCAAAATATTGCTTTAACATTTTCCCAACGACCCAACTTCCCAGCAGCTGTTTTCCAAATAGTTTTCTAACCGGTCTTTCAACATGATGCCGAGCATTATCATATTGGAAAATTATTGTCTCGTGTTTAGTTGCAAAAAAAAATTATTGTTGTTTACATTTCAAATGAATAACGTATACTGAAAAAGACGCACAAGGACGGTAGATTTTCAATGCATATTCGGAATATTGGAACAATGTAATAATAATCAAGGTACGCCATTTCTTGGCAAACCGCCAGCATATAGTTATAGATTCAATATATGAACAAATATAATTAGGTTGCATTACCTTTAGTAAAAAGCAACAACAATCTAAGGTAATGATTTTCGATTTTTGAATTTTTCAAAAATAGTCTCAGCGACTACAATTTGAAATATTTCCCCTTCATTATTTGCAAGTTCTTTAAAAGCCCTTTACTTTTATACTTTCTTTCATCTCAAACCACTTATTTCAAAAATTAGCGCCATAAATAATTGTGATAAACAGTTTAAGATTTCAATCTCGAATTACTTAAAAGAAACATAAAAAATATGACTTTCCTATTAGGGACTCCACAACCATTCATTTTATTTTATATTCTTCTTCAAATCATTAATTTACAGCACGCACCTATGCAATTCACCTATCGCATACTTTTCTATGGCAATGAGTCTCAAAACCCATCAAAGGGAATCAATAAATCTGAGGTCGAGGTGAAACAGAATACTCGTGTTGACACTATAAAAACGACGGAGTTGAAAGAAAATGAAGGAATTACTCTTTGTGATGAAGCGAGCATCACAAACCTGTCTGCTGCTTCTTCCGTTAACTACAAAAACCAACAAACATTGCATAAAGCTCCTAAGAGCAAGAGTAAGTCTTCAAAGTCTATTAAAATCACTACAAATAAAATATACAATCATCCGAGAAATGAAGAAGTAAATGCTCCCGTAAAAATGATATTTGCGCGCAAATCGAGCGTTGAGAGCGGCAAGAAACCTTCACCCAAGCGCAATAACCACGACGATGTAACGTATACCGTAACAAATGATTTCAAGAGTCTACGCAGCAATGATATGCGTTATAGCGATTATGCTGTCTCATCTACCACTAGCAATAGTAATTCTCCAAAAAATTCACCGAAGAGTGAACAGCGGCTAGCCAAATCTATGGCGAATGCAGCGCTCGCTGCTGAAACACCACCACCACTAACGGTACAATCTGGGGGAGCTTCATCGGCGACGGTGCCAAAATGTGACATTGTCGTGAGTATACCACAGTCGCAGATGCCGAAGTCGCCATACTCGATCGATGATGAATTTGAGAATGTATCATTGGCTCAGTTGAAAACGGCGAGTAAGAAGTCGCCTTCAATCACAACAACAACTAACGTGACAGAGCCTACAAAAGGTGGCTCGACTAGAAATGTGCCAAAGTTAAAAATTGAATTGAATAGTCTGAAGACACGGTTGAGCATTTCAAAGCCCAAATCGGCTGGTGTGTTGTCAAGTGCGGAGACCTCAGAGAAACGCGAGCGTACCAAGCAGCGTAAACACTCATTGGATGAAGTAGCTGCACCATTGAATGATAGACTCGATATAGAGACCTATGCGAAAAATATCGGTTTGCAGCCAATAGAGGTTTTGACGCCACCTGAATCGTGTGAAAAGCTCAAATACAGTCCGAATGCCTCCCCGCTCTCGTCTGCATCTTCGACAACCAGTTCGTCGAATAATGCTTTTCCGTTAGCCACACCCACTGAGTTGACTACGAAAACTTCTTTCCATAAGAAAAGGAAAAAGAAGCACTCGAAAGATTCGAAAGAGCCCAAGGATAGCAAGCGGCGTAGAATGCATGCGGAAATCTCCAGTAAACCGGAAGAAGAAAGTCTTAAAATGAAAGTTAAGCTAACGGCACCACATAATCATAAATCCCACAAGTCTGAGAGTTCGAGTACAAAAAAGAATAGCGATGAAATGCGTAAGTCACCACCGATCGTTAGGGATGTCAAAGTGCTAACAACTGCTACAGTTCCAAATATACCAGTGACACCAGTAAATGATAGTATTTTGGCATTGAACAAAACTCTTGGTGAGGAATCGCGTAGCATTAATCATCTCATGATGGAAAAGGAAAGAACCAAAGAGGTTGTCAAAGTGGTAAAGGCAGATGAAACATTGCTAACGCTACCACAGACAAATTTACTTCCCAAACCCTATAACAACATAAGAGATTCCAAATTACCCGCTTCACCACCACTACCGCCCAGTCTCTTCAAGACGACACCACTTAACTTCAATACACTCACAGTTACCAGTACGACCGCGGGTCAGTCAAAGTCTACAAATAACTCGTCCAAGCAAATGGACTTAACGAAGAGTAAACAGATTGCGCCACAGACGGCAAAGCCAACTTCAGTACCGCAGTATAACAGACAGGGCTCCCTAAGTGCTCCGAAACCACATCCACATTTCATAGTTCCAAGCCTTCCACGCCGCCCCTCACCCGGCTCAAATAGTTCGTATACACCTTCGTCTATAGCCAGTGCCAGTAGTAAACAGTTTGGCATGCAATTAAAACGCTCCGCCTCTTTGGATGAGTCCTATGCAATTGGTGGACGTGCCAAGCAGCTTAAGCTTGATGCGTCTCAACGTAAGGCGCTGTACGGCAGTTATGCAAATAAGCCGCTTACACCGCCATCCACTAGTGTAAGTATTACCAAACTGGCCGATACTGCAACCAATGTGCAAAGCTCTAGTGGCACTCATAATAATGCAGTTACCATCACGGCACGTCCACCGGGCGGCATGACGCAGGAACAAATGCGTTGGCAACTACCACCATACACTCAGTTGCATTTGCCGTTTAACAAGCCTGCTGTGGAAATCGTGCGCATCAACTCGAATCAAATGACCGCCGATATGCATATACCTGTGCTGAATACATCAAAGAGCGCACGTATGATGGGACCACCACTGTCTATGGTGAAGGGCAAGAAGAACGTTGGACATCAGTTAGGCACTATGCCTTCCACTGGTGGGGTGAAATCACCGCCAATATCGCACCATGCTGTAACTTTAGGACATGCCAGAAACAATCCTTATCGTCTATCACCACCGGCGTTGGTAAATCTACAAGGTCCACCATTTACAGCGTCCAAGAAAATGGGCGCACTAGCTACTGATAATACCTGTAAGAAACCGGAGAACTTGTGCAAGACCAACGGTACAACCGATAAGCAGTTACAGCAATCACGCATTAGCTTGAGGGATTTTAGACCGATCTCACGTGATCACACCATCGATATAATAGATGTTACTGGAGGCAGTGGTAAGGAAGAGCTCAGCCCAGCGGCTGATACTACAGTTAGTGCCACAGCTGTTACGCCGTCAGCGCGAGAAAGTCTGGAAGCTGCTTTGAACAAAATTAAACAAAACATCACTTCCACAACAACTGTGCAAGATAGTGTCGCTGCTTCCGCCGCAAAGCAACAACAATTGGCCTCGCCTACACAGATGAGCAATGAAGACCTACAGAATCTACACTTGCTTTCCGAGTCGGCAACGACACGTGAAAAGATCGCAATACGCTCTTCGCAATCTTATGAGAAACCGAAAATGCAACCATCTTCTTTGGTGCGTCAGCAAAATGCTTCTGTGCGCAACATACCGAATCCCTCAGCGTTGGCGTTTCGAAATATGTCGACGCTGCCCGCTGTGAGCTCCACTTTGGCGCCCGTGTCAACGGTTGTCGCAAGTCAAACCACCACCACCACCACCACCAGCTGCGCGCCACCTACAACCCCATCCACACCAACAACCAGTCCCGCATCACAATCCACACAAAAAACATTACCGCTGGTGTCGCTACCCGTAACCAGCTCGGCTGCGCCGCTTAGTCCCGGCAATCCTGTGTTGCCGGCCATAACAAGCAGCAGTGCCGTTAGCGCTACCAGCACAAGTATAACCGTGGCACGCACCGTCAAGAAGCCGACAACCATTGATCAAGTCGCTGCTAATTTAAATATGCGCGCATCAGCGGCTGCCGCGGAAGCACACGCGGCTAAATTGAGCGCCGCTGAGGATGTGACTCAAATAACCTCATCCATGGGCAGCGCTACAACGAGCCAAAATAACACCAGCGATCTGGCGAAGGTGACACTCACTACAACAGTGGCTTCTTCAACTACATCTAATGAGACGTCGGCCACAACTGCTGAGTGTGTAAAGGAGGAAACGAATAAAGCGGCAAACAGAGTGGATGAGATTGCGAAAGCGAAAGTGTTGCCGAAATCCGTAGCCGATAGTGGTGTGACAACTGCTATTGTCACTGATGTCACTAACATAGAGAACGCTACGTGTAACAGCAATAGCAATAGCAATAGCAATAACAATAATATTAATAATAATAACAACAACAGTAATAGCAAGAACAACAATAATAACGGCAATAACGATGTCAAATATGGCGTGACGTCAGCTAGCGTGGCGAGTGATTAAGGTGAGTGCAGCAAAGCATTGCATTGTTTATTGCTTTTCAGTTTGTTTTGTGGCATTTATTTTTTACCTCTGATACGAATTGAGAGCAATCAATTGCGGTGACATGGGATGATAAGGGGAAGATAAATGAATGTAGAGTATGATATGCGCACGATTTATGGTTTTTTATTGGTGAAGTGACTGAAATAATTGAAATTTCTCCATTGCATCTCGGGGTTAAAGCAGATTGAATGTTCAAATAAGACATATTATTTTTACTTTTTGCAAAAAGTGAGTTCGATTTTGTGAACATGTACTTTGTGTGGCGACTTTCGTCCAACTTTTGCTCAATTAAATTTTTGGGAACCTTTCACTAGAAGACACTCAGAAATTACTTTACAACTTATTCTAGCGTTTTGCCCACGTAACTCAGCGCTTCGTGCTTAAAGAGTTTAACAAAAAATATTAATTATCGTTTCATAAGCGCCTAAAAGGGATTTGCTATTGCTAAAACTAGTCTATGAATTGTGGCAAAAAATACTAAATACAATGTTTTTCTGCATTAAACTGTTTGTTTAGTAAAATAGTGAAACTACTCTGTCAAATTATGAAAAATTTTAAGAATAGATAGAAGAAAGATCTAAAGATCTTTAAGTGTTATACTTACTGTGTTATACTTTTAGGAACTATAGCAAATAGACGAAGTTCTCACATTTAGCAAGACAATCTGGCACATATTTCCTTTCGTAGTATTTGAATAAAATTTGAGCGAAATTTTGGTTGCATAAACACATATTTTCATACCCTGAACAAGAAAAATTAAGTTTGCCGCCAACGCCAACAAAAGAAAACGTCAGAGATTCTATGAAGTATAGATATAAATGATCAGCTTGACGAGCTAAGTCGATTTAGTTATGTCCGTCTGTGAATCCGTATTTGTACACGCGAATTAGCTTCTCAGTTTTTGAGATATCGGTCTAAAATTTTCCACATGTTCTTTTCTCCCCAAGAAGCCAGAATCGCCGATATTTGACTAATATAACATATAGCTGCCATACAAACTGACCAATCAATATTAAGTCCTTGTATGAAAAATTTTTTTTAGTACACAAATTATATTCACGAAATTTATCCAAGGCATATCTATCATAGTATATCCGAACTATATATACTATACTACACTACTAAAGCATATAGCTGCCGTTAAAACTGACCGATCAAAATCGAACTCTTGTATGGAAAACTTTGTGAACTTTTTATTTGTGTAGCGTATTATAGATTCGGTGCGACCGAAGTTAATGTTTTTTCTTGTTTTTCATGCAATTCATATTTAGTCTCTAATTTTAACAAAAAATTATTTTTTTCTTTTCATCCTTCATTCTTTTCTAAAGATACAGTCAGTCGTTGTGAAATTTTCTTCGAAATAGTAGACTCCGAAGTCAAATATTATTGGCGATGGATGGATGGCGAAAGCATTACTAATGACATTTAAACGGTAATTAATTACTAAATATGTAACTTCTAATACATAATAAATTCTACCGCATCAAAAAGTAGTTTCTGAACAGGCTATCAATTATAATTATATATATATAATATATATATATATAATATTTACAGTCTAAATGTAAGTAAAAATACAAAACATAATTTTATCGTTGCTTGTATAATTTGGTAATAATTAAATTAAATAAATTATAAGTGAGTATTAAAAATTATTTAAACTGTAAATCATTTTTTAACAAAACCAAATCATTATAAAAATTGTAAAATTTACTCATATTAAATATATTTAGCAGGAATAAGTATATAAAAAACTTGAATTCTTTAAATGTACCTAATTAGACCTCGTTGAAAAAAAAAATGCATATAATTGCTAATACATATTTATTTATCCACAATATACAATATAAGTACGTAAAAGCATACATATTGATATATTCAAAATAATAATGTAGATCTACATATAACAAAGCTGATATACGTGGCAGGCTTTAAATGTTTCAAAAATGTGTAGTATTAGAAAAGTGAATTTAGAATTTAAATAGCGTTAATTAATAACTTTTAAGAAATTTAACTTTTAAAAATATTTTTTGTTTTGTTTTAAGTTTCTATTAATAGTATTGAACGAAATAGATATGGAGAAAATTCAAATTACGTACATATGTATGTATGTACACTCAAGATCAAATATGCCCCGGACTGGGCGTTACAAACTGCGCGCCCACACTAGCTTGTTACAACCTTTGTGTTTGTGCGTGTAAAGTTTGAGGCTCTAAGAAAAAAAATTTTATCAACCAGTTCGACTCAAATGTGTACATGCGCTTAAATAATTCACTTTAAGTACTGTCTATTTAAGCTGAAAATTTCAGTAACTCCGTTAATTTATTCATAAATAAGGGCATAAATTATCCTTGTGTTAAACAATTTTAAATACGCACAATTAAAGCTTTAAATGTATTATCTATCTTTTATATGCAAACTACAAAACTATAGTTTTTAAAAGTTAAGCCCTCGCAAGACCTTAATGTAATTTATTAAATACCTTATATACTTATATTTATATACATATGTAAATAATCAAAGAAGTCGTAAAAATGCTATTAACTAATTTAGAAAGTGACACAAAGTTTCGCTGCTCGCGAGAACCAAAATAACCAACAAATGAGCGATGTTTATCTATTTTGTTGTAGATATTAAATAAGCTTGCACAAATCGCATAAACTAATGAAGAAAGCAAAATAAAGGAAAACATCATTAAATTTGCAATAATTTCATACATAGAGTACTTGTGCACACACTTACATTTATTGTACATATGTATATATAAACGCGGCTGCTGCATATAAAATAATATACACATATATAAATGCTGCTAAATTTGCAATAAAAACTTAATATCCTTCAATGAATGCCAGCAACAAATACGTACGTATATAAAATTCTCTGATACGCACACTTATGTACATATACATACATATATTCATATGTAAATATACAATTGATATATTGACATATTTAAAAATAAACGCATACATATATATATTCGTATGAATAAAATATATACGTTATTTTTAAAATTTTTAATTTTTAAATAGAATTTTATGTATTTATTTTTTTTCAAGCCGTTTGTAACTCGCCGTCAATGCTCTGACATTGAAATATTGATTGCATAATTAAATTCCGAGCTACTTGCCTCTTTATTTCGTTTGATTGACCAATTGACGTGTACATCACGGCCACTTCAGTTCGACATTTCCATCGTTATTTTTCATTTTGTAAAATATTTTTACGATTTATGATTATAATTTCTGGGCGCCGCTGATATACATGCATACACATTCAATCATATGTATATATATGTATTTGTGTATATATTGCTGTGAAGAGTGTTTTAGTAATTGCAATTGAATTGAAAATAATTATTAATGAGAACTAAAGCGGAGGTAAATTGTAAATATACTCGAAAATATTGTTCCTGTTATATATTATTTATGCACATATACAAACAGATATATATGTACATACATATATGCCAAGGTTTCTTATTACTTTTGTATATATGTAAAATATTTAGTTGCACATATTATAAGTAAATATTTATGTAAAATATATAATATTTCAGTCTTATATTGTTTATTTATTTATTATTAGAGTTTAACAATTCGTAAAATTTCTACAATTTTATTTCTGTTTTTACTATATTTGAATTGCTTGCTATTTTTTGTTGCATTACATATAGAAATTTCTATTAAAATATCATTTATTTGCAATAGAACTTTTTATTGAACTATGTTTTAGCAATTAAAAATCGGCATTAAGCGGTTATATCCACTTGAAAGACAGAAAAACACGTTTTCGCGAATTCGTTTGAAGAGGCTTTTTAGTTAATAAATATATAAAAGTGATGTACATTTACAGAATTTCATTTGCCTTAAAAATCGTTAATTCATTTTGAAACATTTTGAATACTCTTGATTCCGTAGCCGATCTGCAGGAGGACCAACAAAAACAGTTGTCTGGTGGTAAAGAAGATTTTTCTGCTTAAAATTATTTAATATCCATAAAAAAATATTAAAATAGATGATTACAGGTTTTAATCGAACAGCTAGTAGAAATTTGTTTTTTGACAAAATGACGGCTTCTCAAAAAACTCGTTTTTGTAAAGAAATTTACACTTCAATGTGGCTTAAAAAATCCGAACTATTATCAAAAATATTATTTCCTTGGTCATTATCTGACAAAAATACATAACTAAGGTCGTGTGAAATTTTCATCATCGAATCTGAACACTGTGCTCTGAAAAAACGCTTTCAGTTTTGGGAGCCCATTACATTAAGGAGTTACATGTATTTAGTCGAGCGAAAAACGCCCTATTTTCAATAATTTTGTTTTTCATATAAAAAATTAAATATATTATTCCAGCTTTTTATTATTCCGAAGATACATATTAGATAAAGATTTTGTGAAATTTTTAATGAAAAATATTCAAAAGTCATTACGACGTAATTTCCGGCAGTCTTTCGGTAAAAAGGTGCTTCCGCGTTGACAGCAGAATTTCTGACAGGATCATCAAAAATAAAACAAAAAAAAAAACATGCGTGTTTGAACTGATGAGATTAACTAGGTATTGGGATGAGAAAAACCAAATAAAAGGGGAAACTTTATGTATTGCAGACGTTTTTACAAAAACATGCCAATTTTGGTGAACATTTCTCAATATTTTTTGTTTATTAAATAGTTGTAATTGAACAAAAAGAAAAAACAAAAAAAATCCTCCGCAGCAAGACCGTGTGTAAAATTTCATTAACCCTTCTGTTAGTAACCAACTTTACCGACGTCTTTTAGCAACCTGATCTGAGTATTATTATTATTTTGTTTATTTTATTAAAAAAAAAAATTTTTCTAAAAAATATGTTTCTTCAAATATTAATAGTCAGTGACAATTTAAAGAAAAGAAAAAAAATAACAGCGTAGAATAAAAAAAATAAATAAAAAAAATTTAAAAAAATAAACTCACAAATTGCTTTCTTTTAAGTTAAAAAACGACGATTTGAGAGCTTAAATGAAATTTTGAATTTTTTTTAAGTAATTCACACAAATACACCGCGGTGGCTACCCGGTTACTAACATAAGGGTTAAGATCGGTTGAGTAGTTCGTAAAAAATCTTGACAACCGATTTTGAAAACACAGTTCTGAGAAAAACGCGTTTAAGTGACTACAAGTATATAGCGGACCTCGAGCGCGCAACTTTTCAAAGCTGTATCTCCAAAACTATTACTGGCATTAACTTGAGAATTTATTACAATATTCTAGAGATGTTATAGAATTAAATAAGACAACCAAAATTGAAAACAATTTTTTGAAGCCGTGAAACCCATGTAACGCCTTAAGTTAAAAAATCTTTACAAATACGCTGATATCTCCGAAACTATTCGACAGGTCAACTTAAAAATTTTCGAGAGCTTTTTAAAATATATGTACAATGTACATGCGATATGTGAGCAAAACATACATTTTTTTTTTGATTTTAACAAATGGATATAACCTCCTAAACACGAATTCTGCTTTAAATAAAAACAAAAAAATAACTTTCGAACCATTTAAATATACATACATATGTATGTATGTACATATGTAAAAACAAGTCAAAAAGGAAAATAATTAGAAAATTAAAATACTTTTGTGTATGTATAAATTATACATTTGTATACTTCATCAGCATGAATCTATAAATAATAGAATAAATTTCTGTATGTATTAACCTCAAAACAAAAACAAATATTTCACATACATATATAAGTAAGTTAATAAAAAACAAAGTGCAAGTTCACTGTTATACCATTAGTTAAATAAATTATTTTTAATTTAATTTCAAAATCACAAAATATAAACAGCAATGGAGAATGAAATACTGTGAACATAAGCTGATAAAAAAGCATAAAAATGAATGTCACGTAGGCAAAATCAACAACAGCAAAAATATTTGCAAATATTTGGAATAAACAAAAGCAGAAAGAGTAATAACTTCTATGTATGTACATATATACAAGCGTAGATACACACATACATACATACATATAAATATGTATAAATAAATAAAAAAAAAAGTGTAGCAACATCAAATTGAAAGCGAAATTAAAAATATGCAAACACATCAAAAATCCTCTAAATCTATGAATAGACGCATAGATGTTTGTAACATAAATATTTAAATAAGAATAAGGAATAATAAAGAGAATTTAGCACATTTACACAACTTGGCGTTTTCATTTCCGCATACACACACACACACACGCTTACACAAAAATGCATACAGCGGAAGGCGGCTTAATGGCATCAAGAAGAAGCAACCACCCAAAAGCGCGCCATGAACGCCAGCCTCAATTACATACATACATATGTTGTTGTTTTTGTTTTTGTATCGGCGATTGTTAACAAGTTGTTGCGCGCTTAAACACCCTTACGTAAGTATCGTATTACAAAAGTTTCCTTGTTGTTGCTAATGTGTTATAAGAGCAGAAGATGTAGAGGATGATAAAAAAAGAAGAAGATCAATAGACGCACAATGACCACAACGTCATGCCAGAGTAATACCTTTCAGACGCTATGCATTAAGTAACTGAACTATAAATACGTAAGTACTTACGCGTACGTGTTCACTTACATACACACATAAGTATACAATAAACGCGCACTTCTCGGCCAGCATTCATATCTCACTTTGCACAGTTGCAGCAACACCCACACGCACTCCATTACAGCTCGACAGATACACCCACGTTCATATGTAAGTATATTTGTAGCTCGTGCCAAATGCTCACCCGCTTTCAAAGGCCAAGCCACAGTCTCATTCGCATTCAGAGCAACGCAACGCCGACGATTCAAGTAGAAATAGTTGTTGTTGCTGTTTTAAATCACATATTTACGTCAGCAGCCAACATGCGAAAGTCATCAAATGCGAGAGTGTTAGCAGGGTTGGATGGGATTGCAACGTCAAAGAGGTGAAAGGGGCGACATTGTTGACAACGGCGACAGCAGCTCGTGCCATTTAAATAGCAGAGTGCATACGCAAAGCCAAGCAAATATACATATATACATACATACATATGTACAAGCATGTATGCGCATAGACATGTTCATGCACTTGTACTTACGTACACACGTATGTATGTACTTGGATAAGCAAGTACTGCAAGAAAACGTATAAATATGTATGCATGTGTAAGTACACTGTGTTACGAACGAAGCCAGCAACCGACGCAACACTCGCTTCGTTTAGCCGTCCATTCGTTCAGTTCATTCCACTGTATGCTCTTGAAGCTTCGCTGACGCCAAGTCACGTGGTTGCGCTCCGCAGCCCTCGTGCCGCCTACCATGACAACAATCGTGAGCGCAAACTGTATACAATTCCAGTAGCAGTTTGCTTCGGCTACACATATATTATCGCCCGACGAAGTGATGCTTCCTGACTGCACCCACTCATAAATGCTTATCATCACAGGCATAAGCTCAGCTACTGGGTATATACATATATACATATATGTAGGTAGGTATGTATGTAGATTTAAAATATATTTACATATGAAAGCACCCATAAGTTTCTTTCAAAACGCGTGATATTTGACCAAGCTTACGACTGGTTCAAATATTTTTTGTTTAAATCCGGAAATCGTTTGAACAACGCTCAGAATAATGGCGAGTAGACGCTCGTGCTTTGCCTCAAGCGTAACCTGATAACGCAAACTATAAACTTATGCGGATTACTATAGATCTATTGTATGGAATTCTTAGTTGTGTGCTCATATCCAAAAATAAAATCATAATATATTAGAAATATTTTTATACTCTCGCAACATGTAATAACCGAGTAAAATAGTTTTGTTCATCTAACGGTTGTTTGTAACACCTAAAACTAATCGAGACAGATATAAGAATTATATATATATATATATATGTTATACATATATTTATAGTCAAGTATAGTTGACGAGACGAGTTAAAATCCTCAAAGAAGTCAGTCTAAAAATTGCACAATAGACGTGGTACCGTCAGCCTTTAGATGAAGTTCCATGTATCAGAAACGACTAGACCAATTTCAACTTCAATTTGGTGCATAATATTATCTCGATATTCCTACCGCATATTGTGAAAATGGGCGAAATCGAAGTGCAACCTTGCCAACTTCCCGTAAATCAGTTTAAAAATCAAGCACAAACGAAGGTTACGGAATAAAACTACACAATCAATATAGTGTTATCCCACGTCTAAAAACTGTAAAAATCGTACCACAACTCCAAATACTGAATATGTGGACCATAGTGTCTATCGCTGACATTTTACCGAAAATATCAGTCAATTTATGTGAAATTCTGAGAATCTTTTCCTGATAATAAAATGTTGTTTAAAAAATGGGTTAATCCGGGTCAATAATACACACGTGAATAACAGTGTGTCCTTGTGCTTAAAATGAATAAAATCGGGTGAATAGTTCCCCTAGATCCCATATACTTAATAAAAGGATGACTTTATACCATATATTTCGCTCAATCTGTGAGGTTTTTAATGAAACTCTTTCTTTCTAATATCTCCAGATATTAAAAATGGATAAACTCGGTTCAATACTACCCCTAGCGGCCCTATACATATGTACCAAATAAAAGATTGTCGTATGTACTTCCGGTTGAGTTTATGCCGCATATATCGGTCAATATGTAAAATGTCTAAGCAAACTTAAGTGAACCAGATATACCATGCCCAATTTAATGCCGAAAATGTGCGATATCGAACTACAAATTACCCAGCTGAATTATCTTCGCAAAATAGCACGAAAACAAGTTCTCGACTAAACTGAAGTAATACCAAAAATTATTGCATGAAGTAAAATATAGTAATTAAATAAGGTGATCCTTAGGGTGGGAACCTCGTATAAGTTAATAAGATACCAAATTTGATTGTAATCCATTTGATTGTAAATCCACCTGGAAGTATTTCTTCGGCTTTAATCCTTGCAAATTTCGAGAGTATAAAATGTTCGGTTACACCCGAACGTAGCCTTTCCTTGCTTGCTATATATACAAACATAGTGGTATATATGAGCATAACAGTATGTACACTTGGAAAATAAACAAAAATGTGTTGATCTGCCATATTCAGGGATGTTTTTGGCAAATATATCTAACATTTTTTTGAGATTAAAATCTAAATTTGTAAACAACTTTTTGTACATTTATGATGTTAACATTACAAATTTATTTCGTAATTCTCGCGCAACGGTTTACATTGCCTTTACATACTTATATTTTAAAATTTGCGCTACTCTTCCCAATTTAAAAATTAATCAAAATCGATTTTAAGCTTTTTGGGAATGTTACGAGTAGGTTAGATAATGTTATTGCAGCCGCTCTCAAATCAAGAGATAACACTTGCTGGTGCAAGAAATAAGCTCCAGTTTACTTCAACCTTAGTCTCGTTGGTACAGAGTATAATAGTTTTGTTCAATTAATGGTTGTTTGTATTACCTTAAACTAATCTAGAGTTCTATATATAAAGGTTGGAAGGTATCTCCCTTCCGCTTTTTTGCTCTTCATTTAATGCTTTATAAAAAGTGTTACAGTGATCGGATTTAGTTAAAATATGCGCCGTTTTGTTCGATGATCTGTTTCCATCTAGACGGCAACTTCATAATACCTTCCTCGTAGAAGCCCCCCTCCTTATTTGCGAAGAATTCGGACAGCCACTTTTCACAAGCCTCTTTTGAGTTCAACTTCACACCACCAAGGGCATTCGCCATGGACAGGAACAGGTGGTAATCACTTGGCGCTACGTCCGGGCTATATGGTGGATGCGATAAAACCTCCCATCCGAGCTCCCGTAGCTTCTGACGAGTCATCAACGAAGTGTGTGGTCTGGCGTTGTCCTGGTGGAACACTACACCCTTCCTGTTGGCCAATTCTGGACGCTTCTGGTCGATCGCCTGCTTCAAGCGGTCCAGTTGTTCGCAGTAGATGGTAGAATTAAGCGTCTGACCATATGGGAGCAGCTCATAGTGGATGATTCCCTTCCAATCCCACCAAACACACAGCAAAACCTTCCTGGCCGTCAATCCCGGCTTGGCCACGGTTTGGGACGATTCACCGGCCTTCGACCACGACCGTTTTCGCTTGATATTGTCATATGTGATCCATTTTTCGTCGCCAGTCACCATCCGCTTCAAGAATGGGACGAGTTCGTGGTGACTAACTCCCATCTCCTGGGCGATGTCACGAGATGCCATATGCCGGTCTAACTCGATGTATTCCATGATTTGATCGGTATTTGTCGTCACAGGTCTTCCGCCGGCTGGCTTATCCATGGTGTCGTTTTCACCGGCTCTGAATCGTCGAAACCATTCCTCCGCGGTTCGAAGTGATAGAGTACCATCCCCCAAAACACCATTAATCTCACGGAACGTTTCTCTAGCGGATTTGCCTTTAACGAAGGAAAACTTTAAAATAGCGCGAATTTCGGCGTTAGTGAACTCCATGTTTACACGTCTATAACTGTTGAATGCAATATCCAAACTAATCATGCATAGCGTTGTTTTGTAGGTTATGTCAAGACCTTTCAAATTATGTATAGTGTTGCCAGATACGAGCTCTGTAGCGCTTTGTACATAGCCGCGAAATTCAAAAGACAAAAAAGCGGAAGGGAGATACCTTCCAGCCTTATATATACATGATCAGGTTGACGAGATGAGTTGAAATCCGGATCACTGTCTGTCCGTCCGTTTGGGTAGCGTTTGGGTAGCGTGATTAAAAATTGGGGTATCTTTCTTCTTTTAATTGGTATACTTGTACATACATATTTATGTACGAGAGTCCTATATATCATTTTACCTTGCGAGAGTATAAAACATTCGGTTAAACTCGAACTTAAAGCTTTCTTACTTGTTTTTGATTCAATTCGTTTCCTATATTTCTGGTGGATGCAGATCTACAATGTTGCCAACGGGATTGGATGACGTAGCTCCACTCTGAGTGGAATACAGTGTTGTTTACAACTTTTTTAATCGCTTGTAAAACTAAACGTATTGCCGTATCACCAGAAGGATATTGCAAATTAAACAGTACAACTGGTAAAAAAAGCAAGAAGCCAAGCAAAAGAAGTTTTATTAAATTTGAATGGAAGCTTAGTAATTATTAATTATGAGTAGTAATAACGAAAATGGGGTTTGTTGCACGTCACATCAGAAGAGATTGATTGAACTAATTCA